CAAACATTGCACTTAAGTTCAGAACTCTCACGTTTTTTTCACTATTACTCTACTGTTAGCTCACCATTCAGATTTTGCGATGGTTTAAAAAAATACACACCGTAGGACTGAAAGCTGTCGTATTTGATCAGAAATATTCTTGGACACTTTTGTGCAAATTTATGAAAACTGATACTCCAAACTACATGTACGAAGCCTCGGTACGCATAACATCTCTACCGATCAGACCAATAATGCTGGGAGAGCTTTCTCGGACTTTTCTGACCCAAAGATTTGACAACTCTATTAACCAAGCTGATTTTGTTGCCTTATAACTCTGGAATTGCGCTGACTATTCGACGGATTGGAGAACTGCGGACCGCACTCAACATGATCGTAAGAGTACGTCGCCTTCAAACTAATAATGATGATAATTACGGCCTCGTTCTCTAGTCGAGTCTTGTGAGAGACCGATCAGCACGCAGTTGATCACTTACGTGACAGAATACAAAGACCACATATATTTTGTAGAGTCGCCTGTCAGTTTCGTAGCATCCTAACTACAAATCGTGTAACTCGGCCAACTGATGTGCTGACATCCCAACCTCTCTTCAAGTGTTGTGAAGAGGGTCAAAGGACATCATCATTGAAACCACTAGACCAATAACAAATAATGGCGCTCAACTGTCTAATTCAAACGATAGAGTAGAAAGACAATATCACTGAATCCACCTACTAAGTTAGTTGCCATTCTATAGGCCAAATACTCAGCTTTTCTACTGTTATCTGTCAAACTCACAACCCTTTATTGTCTGTATGCCACCCAACCGGCAGTAAGTCGATTTGATGGAGTTGTCTCGCCATGTTTTTGATCGGTCCAGCAGAAAACGTCCGTTTCTTTCAAAGAATTCGTGTGAGCAGTCGGGAAATATCTCCTCGGAACGACAACAACTCTGGCACTCGGCAGTTCGAATGCGAAAGCCAATACTAACTGAGTGCTGCACAGGTAATATAGATGCTTTCCGCTGGAATTGGAACAGTTCTAACTGTGTCTTGCGTCTTCGATACTGACAAACTCATAGATACACACCGGACCGACGTTATAGCTTTAAAGTATCCCTGAATTATATTCGTAACGAGCACTCAGCTAAATGCAGTTTTGATCTAAAGAAGCCATGGATCGTCAGACGATGTGCTACAAAAATACTACACGTGATGGAAACCAACAGTGCACTTAAGAGCTCAGACCGGCAGCCAACAGGTAGTATGAGATGATGATAGCTTATGTCGAGTGCTTCAAAACGGCAGCGGCTTTCGAGAAGTCGATACTCAATGAGGCAGTCGATATGTGACCACGCAATGTGCTTTCCTTGATTGAAGGGTTGGTGGGGCTATTTTTTCTCTAGTTGAAAGCTACTCACACTGCTGATCAGCCGTCATTGGCCAGACGACTAGTGTTCAACCACTGAATGCGGATTTGAAACTCTGAGTCCCGTGACATGCGCACTGCTCATGATCCTCAACAAGGACGAAACAGCTGTGTGGTGCTTCTTGATTTTCCAACACAGATTGGCTTCACTGACAAGACGAAGTCTCTATTGAAATCATGAATGTATATTTCAGCCACGTGGACAGGGGACAGAGTTAGTAGGTAATAAATAACTCAATGCCACAATAATTCATCGGAGTAATTTGCATGAGATCGGTGGCAAATTTTGACGATTCTCGAAGTTTTCTACCAATCCCCAAACCCTGAAAGACTCATGATAGAAAAGAATTGGAGAATCATTGTCCGACACAAAATGTCTCGAGACTAAAACTGGGGAAATGAGGCAACTATAGATATGGGGGTTGTGTCCATTTCATTAATTTGTTAATTCATTTTCATTTCGTTTCCCTTAAGGTTTAAAGAAAACTAGAGAGAACCGCATAGTTCATATTGCACATCTTAGTTTTTGGGCCGATAAACATTGAGATAATTTAGATGTGGATGTATTATGCAGGCTTGTGAACAGGAATGAATCGCCACTCATTAAAACTTATGTCACAGACAGTTACTTCTTCATTCTGGAACACTAAGTACCACAAACAAACCTACTCGGGAATTGCAGTTTTACCTTGAGAGTCAGCGAGAGATGGAAAACAATTCAAATTGATTAATGCCTAGAGCGAAACAACGGGATGCCTTCAGATTCAATCAGTCAGATAGCTAAGCAACACCATAGTGGAAACTAGGAGCACCGGGCACTATTCTTCTCTTTTAACTAAAGGTTGCGTAGCGTCTAGTTGTGGAAAGACTAACCAAATCTATTGCTTCGCAAGTATTTTGGCCTTGTTCACCAATCGAAACTGATCAAATTTACCCACTTAAATTGGCACCGAAACTTCCTCTCTTGAGGTGCATAGAGCTGTACTAGACTTGATTTGAAATAGCACAGCGCTGGAGAACTAGTTTATTTCGTGCTGGATAAAACGCGTTTTCACCTGGGCTTGGATCGTGAAAATATATCATCGAGATCGAAGAACATGGGCGTTTTTCGGACGTCCTACATGACGTTGCAGCATTCTTCTTGTCTGAATCTATCAGTTAGAAACTTTGTTGCAAGTGCATCTCGTTCCCCGTGCCCTGGAGGTGTGTTTGTGTTTCGGATCATCCGTGGTGATGAGGTAGATGCCTAAAAATGTTGAATACCTGACGTTGTTGTTTCAGTACTCTTCTTCGCTTATAATAAATCTTACAGGGTGTTTACAGAAGCACGACGGCTCAGCAACGTGTTTGTCTATTAAAGACTAATCAATGTGCACAACCGGAGCGGAATAGCTGACTCAAGCTCTCAAGCACAAAGCAACAGGGTAATGTAATTTCAGCCAACTTTTCGGTGAGTTGAGCGCTTCTCTGTCAAAAGTCTCAGCATCGAAGGTTTCAATGTAAGTTTACTACCCTTCTGTCACAAACGCAGCACTTAAATTTATACCACCGTTATTTCATATGAACAGGCGCTGTGCATTGTTTTAAAAATACTTCAGCCTTAGATCTTATTTAATGGAAGATTCAGAGCATGGATGCGCTCACAAGCACTTTAGGAACAGGAAACCTTGCCGAACCATTCTTAGAGCAAGCAGTCCAGTAGGGCATGCCAATTAGCTTCCAAACCAATCATAGTACACAATACAGCATGCTGACCAGTCTGCCCGGAAAAACTGGAGGTATCAGTTTTTGTCCCTTAACAAGGGCTATCCTCGATGGAGGAAAAGCCGCCCAACATCCTCAGTGTAGTCAACAGTATTTTCATTATGGATTTCTGAAAGTTTCCACACAAACTGCTGAATTTCCAAGCACGCCTGACCACCACTGGAGCATGTGAGGGAATTTTTTGTTGCTCAAAACAAAAAGGTATCTATTGGCGAATGCATCTTTCAGTGACCGTAAATCGCTCAATAAAAGTACGTTGGGTACGGTTCACAGAGATCGTTCTTTCAGCGACCACTTGGTGCCATCGAAGCGCTTTTGCTGTACTGATGTCCGGAGTTGTGTTCCTAATCCTATTGAAATATGCACAGTGGAAATATACACGCACGCTGAATCTGTTAAAAACAACACGGGAGCGTTCACCAGCTTTGAGGAAATCACGATAGCAAGCCCTCAGGAAAGGATCATGTAATTTCTAGCACCAGATGGGACTGAGTTGTGACCCGATTTCGGCCATCAATAATGGCACACAATCCACCGATGTTGGTATTGGCACTGAAACTAAGACACCAGGACTCGTGACAGGTACTGGCAGATGTACTCCGGTCAGTCGATAAAGCACCTTGCTAGTTAAAGGGAAGTCGGCAGTTCGTGTACAACTCCAGGCGTCTTTTCGTCCAGACTTGGTATACTTAAATTTCTTGATTCGAACAAATTCCTTGGCCTTCGATGCGGTGGAATTCTTTTAAGAACATGGTCATAGGTGAATTGTCATCACGGTTTAACTGCACATTTGTCCCAACTTTAAAGTATATGATACGAACTGTGTAGAACATTGAACTAGGTTGCCTATGACACACCACTCCCCCTTCATGACACATACTTCCAACGACCCCCTCTTTACTTGGCAACGACTGTAGTTGTTCAAAACCGACATCCATGGTGAGTTCAGGTGTGTTGTTTCCTAACCCATAATGTACGGATCAGGAGATCAGCTACAAATGTCAAATAAGTAGTGTTCATATTAATAATAATACGACCATTTAAGCGTTTCATGGAACTCTGTTGTACAAGGTGCGATGATTTCAGCACTAATAAGCGATTTGAATCCCCTACTTCTTCTAAAACCAAAAGTGTAAACACTCATAAAGGATGGGCTAGATATGAATAATCAGGATTTACTCCAGCAAGACAGGTCTTGGTGCTCTTTCGGACGAATCAGTATGCTCCTGAGTTTGATGGTACGGTCCAAGTAGACGGAACTTTCACCGGAAACTAAACTGCTACTGGAGATGCAGACCGTGCTCTAAAAGTGAAAAAGAAAACAACACTGCAGCCGCCACTGAACTTATCCAAAGAGACTCAAAATACCGATAGCCATCTCTCGAATACGTAGATAGCTTTCCCATGGTCCTGTGCCTTTTTTGTGAAATGTTTTCTGCAACCAGTGCGGTTGCCAAGACTCTAAGCAAACTTGGTAGAGCGTGCGCTGGACTGTGTTACAAACTAACCCCGCATATCAGATGGCTGGGGTTCCGATCCCAGCACAGTGCCGATTGGCTAAGACAGCAACGAAACTTCAGCCCAGAGCTTCTCAGCACAGTGTGAACAAATCAGTATAGATGGACCAAGACAACAGGAGAGCTGTTAAAGTGTAGGTGACGTAAGTACCAATTCCTGGATTACCCTTCGTGTGAAGCTTTTGATACGGTGTATAAGTCACACGAGCGAAACGCACGAAACATGATATCCGTTAGCTTCAATTCGTCGCCATGTGGCAATAATTTTGTGCCTGAGGGCATAACTGTTCTTATTTCTAATAATATTTAAGGGTTACAAAGCGTCTGCGTCTGTGATTTCGGCTGGAACAAACTTTGGTAACACGGTCTTTACTCGTAGCAGGCGCAAGTCACGCCGCAAGATTCGATTAGAAGAATTACCCAGCAGCACTTTTCGATAACTGCTGCGATGGAAGAGCATATCACTACTAGGAATACATTTCAGTAGTTACAACCTACAGCACAAAAATACCGTGCATCGGTAGCCACAAACTTTCTGGAAGTAGTGCGGCACATGACGCAGGTACATTAGGTTGTTGGGAATTTCATTAGCCAGTTTCGATGCACGGGATTTAACGGGTGAGTTACACTGTAAGTTACCAGCGTTATGCTGAGCTACTTTCCGACACGCTGCCGAGTAGAGTTCCGATGACATTGAACAGTGAGAACGGTGGTACACAATAGTGCTTGTGTGAGAAATGTTAAGGATAGTGGCGTGTCAACGACGTGAAACGGGCCAGTTTGTCCACAACCTGACAACAGATACAGCCCGAACCTACCTTGAAAACTGTACAAGTAGAACCAAGCGGTCCAGTGACAAAATATTGATTCGAGGAAACGAAAACATTAGACCGACAAACCACCGGAAAAATCAAATATTTGAATGAGAAAAATGCCCAGATCCTAGAAACTGCATCAATGCTGGGGGAGTATAATACCTGAAAACCTTATGAAGGAATTGTTTAGGTCCTAATACACCGGACAAATTAGGGTACAGGGCCGCCAATGTAAAACCCGGACAAGGCCCAGTTAGTTGGAATCATGACTAGGTGGGGGAAGCTGCTGCGAGATTACAAAAATGAGCAATCAAACATAATTTATCAGGGAATGCAAGATTCGCAGAAGAACGACTGAGAAAGTTTGAAATCCGTTTGGGATGGGAAAGTACTGGCGCGCGAACAGGCCTGCAAATGAAACAAACACAAACCCAGAAGAATGGAATGAATGAGTGAGTAAATAAATACACAAATAAGTGGGTGAATGAACTAATCGATTCGGGTAACTTATAGAGACGATGAAGGCAAATGAAGATGGCATTATTCCCTTCGGGAATGAAGTTGATGCTCTATTATCCTCAGATGTGGCGAAGCGAGTTCAAGGCTCTAAAGGCGGAACTCGTGGTTACCCTTGACTAACTCACCGTGTGCAGAGCAGAAATTATTACATACATCCCATAATGCAACGGTTCCGGAAACGAATACATTATTTGCGCAATTATTCTAGCGGATATCGAGACCAGGTTATATTTGCGTTGCAGCAAGTTAATGCCCAATGCATTTGAATTTCTTCGGAAAATCTATCAGCTGTTGAATGCATTCTTTGAACGATTTCATCGACGTAAAGTTATCAAAAATCTCAGATTGACCGCACCTGTCTTTATGTCCCAGCAAATTGCAGGGGTTGCAATCGTTTCTTCCGGCAACTTACTGCGTCTGTGAGTGCCACATTCTCTTCACCACGCAACAGTTAACAGCAGATTCTAACAGCATACGAGGATGGAATCGCACTAAAAAGCAATGGGTGACTATGACACCTACGTATCCAATTTACTGCTTAGCTTCATTGCGTTCTCTCGCAGAAGTTGCGGTTTCTGGTGTGGGCACGGGACCACCGTTTTTTCCAGCTCTATACTTCTGTTTCTGTATTTAAACCCATGTATTGGGACTATCTTTTTATGCAACCTGAACAGCCTTGTTCAAATTCCTCACTGCTAGTGTCCAGGCAGAGCAATATAATTAGTTCATACGTTATGGTAAATAGTCATTCACAATTTATACTCACAGCGATCTAATTTTAGTGCGTCCCTGTTCGTGGTGCTGCAATCAAGGTTTGTATCGTAATCGTGTCAATATCGGTTAAGAGAGACAAGGTCTCCGTGGTATACTTATGTATTTTCCCACATACTTTCCGCTAGTCGAAAATAGTGAGTTGGCTCGAAATTGCATCTGGTGCGACCTAGGAGTAAATTTACAGCTAAATCACTGAGTTGAGTGTCAGAAACGTGCACGTGCAGCAAGCAGATTGATGTCCCAATATTTGTCAAGCGTTTCCTTTTCTCTTGTAGTAGGATGATCACAGCATGCTTGAATTCTGATGAAGCTTAAAACTCCTACCAGGTCACAGTGGCCAGTTAAGGAAGTACATTCTCCACAGTCCGACCACCATGCCTGAACAGATCTGCTGCGAACATATCTCCTCCAGCTGCCTGGCCATTCCGCAATTGCATGTTCACCTGACAGCTCTTTCCAGTAGTCAGAGGAAGATCCAGGAACAGTCGTCTATCCACTACAGTCCAGCTGTTTTACATGCTGGTCGTTTACGTCAACCAAGTCAGGGCGTCTCGGAAGCAGCCAGCCGATCTGACTAGCTGCTTCACTACGGGGAATATACGCGTTTCGTGCTTGCACAGGGTCCTCCAAATCCACACCATTCGTCGTATAAACAAGGTGCTTGATACAGGTTACTAGCTGATGTAGGACAGAGTAGAAAAGCGAAAGCGGTAAGTCGAAAACCCACATCAAGGGAATCTACGAGGAACCACACAGACTCCCACATTTGGGCTCTGCATGCATGGAAAATCAATAGTGCACGGAACCTATTTAAGAACAGCACAACTGGATATAATTCAAGCAATAAGTCCGAAGTAGCAACGAACACAAATGCATAAGCCGGCAACTCAAGCCAGGGGTTTTCAGTGGCGAACCATATCAGGCTGCTATCGGCTTAGACGATAGTCCATACCGGACAACAACGAAGGCTGTCTACAATTCCATAATGAGAATCAGCAAACGACCATAGAGTAGGGATTTGCAGCAGCAAGTGAAACGGTTACATTGTTGTGCTGATGTAAACTTTTCCGCTAGATGGATCACCAAAATGCCCAAGATTAATACTGGAGAGTTCGGCAGATACAAACTGTCAAATACCCCTAGTTGAGCCGCACGTGAAACCCACCGATTGTCAGGAAGGTATGAATTCGCTTGTACTGGAATGAGTATGCTTGGTAGCAGGATTTCCAACATCATTATCTTGCTGTTCTCCAACATCTTTGCTCGGAGACGTCTTCGGTAAGATTGAATGAACCGATGAACTATTCGGTACCAGCTCGACGGCGGTTGCATTCGAATCCGGCTGTGGAGGTTTCTGCGCATTGGTTTTGAGTATTTGGAGAAGATTCCTATCGGACCTCACTCCTTCGCAGAATTCCTCGAACGACAACCGGTTATCATGATCACTGTCCATTTGTTCAAATATCTTATTCGCCCTTCTCTCGGGCGTTGCCTCATCTTCTGGTAGTTTTATTGTCGAGCCTATCAGTGTGTAGATGGACTAAAAATGAAAAACCAGACTCTATAAAATAATGACACCTCGAAATCCCAAGGGAAAATGTACAAAATATGACGTTGTACTGAGCCCAGAAAGTAATATTCTGCTGAGAAACATTGTTCCACCGGTCCACTACAGAAGCCCCGTACAAAGCGTTGCGCTAACAGAAAAACAACAGTAATTGAGTAAAAGTAACGTGAACGATGATGAATCATTGGATGTTAAACAGGTGACAACAGTGTCATCAAGTACGGGTAGTGGCGAGATATTACAGACAGGATGACCGAAAAACTTCCCTGTTCTTTATAATAACGCCAGCAACTGGATCAGCTGTTTTAGTCTGTGTTCGTATTAAATGTAAAGGCCGTCAAAAATTTTCGTGCTGTCCAGCTTCGGAATTTTGTTTTACAAATTCGAAGCAGACCCCTCCATCACCCATTTTAAACCGGCTTATGTATGATTCCGTTTCTTCTAATGTCGTGTCTACTGCATACAGTCAAGATGATGTCGCGTCTTATTGATATAGGATTTCGGCGAGAGCGCCCATATTATATGGAAGTGCGCCCCTTCTGAACTTTAAGAAAACAAGGAAAACAGTAGGCCCGCTACATTGTAGCTTCAAAATATACACGTCTGGGAAGAACGCGGATTCCGTCTGTGATGTTGCTCGGTGTTAGGGTGGTACATATTTAAAAGTAGTAGCAAGCGAGTTAACAAGGGATGTTGTCGCACATACGTTCGTTTCACACACTCACCAAGACGGATCAACTACCTAATCGAAGAAAGCAAACTCCGCCTTTCGGCTGTAAACACAATTATTATCCCTAGTACTCCTGTGTCTGGGCTAACTTAATTTACTGGTTCCTTTTATGCCGAAATGATTACCTGTTTGGTCGTTATATCACAACAGGTGATCTGAATATAGCAGATATGCCTTAACCTCACTAGGATTGACAAATCATTTGCGTCCCACTACAATACTCAACGTCCAACGTGACTGTGCTTGTGAACTAGCTAAACACAAGTGCCTCTCAACTGGCTCTTTGGATGACCATATTGATTCCTCTTCGTAAAGTCTTCTCGAAATCGAACAGCCATGCTACCAGTCAAGCAAATTAGTGGATGCTAAGGCCTGCATGGGAAATGCTCTCTTTGCAGTTGTTTTCCAGACTTTATTAATCCTATCAGTACATTGTGAGCTGTTGCAACTTCTGTTTTCATTTCTATTGCTTTCTTAAAACCACCTGTAGCAAACCTGATGCATTTTATTCTACCTGATGGAGCGGCTCCGGAAGAAAGCACACCCATTTCAACTTGGTCATATGTTGATGTATGAGCCTGCCTCTCGAAGTGGCTTCGCCCGTTCATACCACCACCACCACCGAGCTCCCGGTCCAGATGACCTTCCACCTGCACTGTTCAAAGACAGACGTGAAGTCCTCAGTCAGCGCCTGTCCGACCTGTTTGCTTGCATTTGGGAAAAGGAGTCTGTCCCAGACAACTGGGGAGAATCGGTGATAGTGCCCATTTTCAAAAAAGGGGCGCGTAGTGAGTGTGGTAACCACAGGGGGATCAGCTTGACCCCGGTTGTAACGAGACTGTTGGCGTCAATTGTGCTTCGTCGCCTTACGGTGGCCCGTGAGATGCTGACCCGAGAGCAGCAAGCGGGATTCCGGCCTGGTAGGGCTTGTGTTGACCAAATCTTCACACTGCGTCAGGTGCTAGAACAACACCATACGTATAAGCGACCCACGATTCTAGTATTCCTGGATTTCCGAGGCGCATTCGACCCGGTTGATCGGTCTGTTCTTCTTGAGACGCTTGCCCACCAAAGAATGCCCCGGAAGTTTGTAAACATAATACGTTCTTTGTATTCTCAGACTTCCGGACATGTGAGAGTGTACGGAGGGCTCTCCAAAAGCTTCCGCACACAAAGCAGTGTCCGTCAGGGATGCCCACTCTCTCCATTCCTTTTTAACTTTGTGATCGATGAAATAATGAGACGAACGATGGAGGGTCTCCAAAACCCTGGTGTGCAAATAGCCTGTGAAGAAAGCCTTGTCGATCTGGAATATGCAGACGACATCGTTCTCATGTTCGAAGAGGAGGAGAAGGCGCAAGTATTCTTGGATGAACTGACCAAAGTCATCCCGTCCTTTGGTACGCATTTTGCACCCACAAAGTGTAAGGTCATGCTTGTAGACGTACAGTCACTGAACACGCCCCTTACAACCCAGGGAGAGGTACTGGAAGTTGTGGAGCGTTTCACGTACCTTGGAAGTTGTATTAGTTCTGATTGCAGTGTGACAGATGAGGTGAATGCACGAATCTGCAACGCTCGGGCCGCGTTTGCGAAATTGAGACGCCTATGGCGTCAGAATGGTTTATCCCTGAATCTGAAAGGACGTGTGTTGTGTAACGGGTACTTCCATTTAAGAATGTGTCCAGCACCAGAAGCTGCGTTGGTTGGGACATGTTTTACGCATGCCGAACCATCGTTTGCCGAAGAGAGTACCGTTTTCCATGCCCAATTCGGAGTGGCGTAAACAGAGAGGTGGCCAACCCATGACCTGGCAGAGGAGTATGAAGGAGATCACGAAACGCGTGGGTGCTGTCGGTGCTACTCACCTACCAGGATGGGGACCACGTGATCCTCACTGAGCCTGGTTGGAGACACTACAAGATATGGCTGCCAACCGATGTCAGTGGTGTTCTTGTTGTCAGTTTCTGTCCAGATTGCCTGAGTGAATGTCTGGAGGTGTAGGCACCTCGGAATGATTGTGATAAACTAGCACTAAGTCCCTTCCCCGTCCACCTTTACTCGTTTCTTTACAATAAGGCCTTCAAATAAATCATGGTTGTACGGCAGTGAAGCATCGGTTTGAACACTGATGTCATGCTGTCGATGATGATGATGATGCAATCAGTTTTAAACGAAGCTATGAAATGGAATCGTCTTTTTATCATTTACTTTTCAGATGTTTCGAAGAATAGGACATGTTACTTGACTCCTTTAAAAAGCGACCGGTCGTAGGCTGTCGACGAGTTTTCAGCAACTTTGTGAGTAGTTTCCTTTATGAAAATATACTGCGATATCTCGAATAACGTACCAACTGAAATATGAGGCGGCCTGCGTGCAGCACATTCAGTTGAAAAACATGATAAACAAGAGATTCTCTTGAGTCTCCCGTGAATACCAAACTGATTTTCAGATGAGCCTATTTGTCGAAACGTTGTGCACTGTTTGCTGGGCCGGGTTGATACGAGCTGCGGATCTGATTATGCAGGGAAGACACTGAAGGTTGGGAAGAAAGATGGGGTAAACACTTGCTGAAAACTCTTCAACAACCCACTACCGGTTTCGACCTTCTTGGGGCTCAGCAGGTAAGTTCTCAGAGGAGATGAACACTCTGAACGGTTCATTCACCAACACGTTGCAAAGAACCCATCACAACCAAAAATACAGCATCCGGTTCGACTACATGTGATACAGATTTCGAGGTACTTACCCAAAAGCTATTATTCGCTATAATTAAGGCATTTCTGGCTACCGTGAAAACTCGTATCTTGTTTAATCAGTGCCCAAAAGGGGATTCCCAATTCGGTCTATAGCCCTTCATTTTCACCTACACTGCACAGTACTCAGGGTACATATTGCGGCGTTTATCTAAACCGATTTACTTCGAAAAAGAATCCCTTCGCATTAGTTGTTTATTTTAAGGTGGCATACTTGCGCCTTGATCTTGCAGTGGTTCTCCATAACTCATTTCGAAACCGATTCCAATTGTGGTTCCGGCCAATGGGTCAACCTAGTAGGCCCTTTATATAAATGCTTTCTTCTGTGTCAATTCAGGGATGGACCACTGGTTGCTGCTGAAGAAAGCATACACGTTTGCGTCAAATATGACCTCTTAATATTACAGGAACAGTCATCTGACCAAGTTACGTATGCCAACAGCAGTGGTGTTAAGCACTCGACACCTAACACCAAAACTTCATCAAGGTCTTAGATGTGCACGGACTTTTTTCCAAGCGACGGTATAGACGCAAACAGTGGCTAAATTCACGGAATAAGACGGCAAATGAATTGAAGGTTATGACGTGAAGGATCGCCCTAGCTACTGTAATCTGCTTCAGTAGTTGCTGCGTAAATCCAATTGGTGCTGCTAGATCAGGAGCATAAATTTGATCGGAATTTACAACCGTTACTATTATCGTTATTATTACTGACATTTCAAGAGGCGGAAAATTTAGGGCCTTAAGAAACAAAGGTTGTGTGATCAAAAAGACGGAAAAGACTACTGTGGAAGTCTTGCTGAGAATATGGATATCAGTTACTGCCAAGTTTCGGATGTCAATAAATACAAAGATGACGAAAAGGAACGGCTGCTAATGTTACGATCAGACACAACTCCATATGATTGTCCATCAAGTTACGTTTCGGAATGCGTACATACATAAAATTTGTTTTTTTTGCTGGATCTTCGCCAGAAGTAAGGCAAAATATCCAAACAACCATTTTGGGGGTGTTTTGAAGCAATCATATAAGAACTTATAAGGGCTCAAATAACTGGCTTTAGCTCAGAGCCCTCGCGCCTCTCTAGTAATACCGAAATCGGATTTGTTTATCTGGTATAATGGAACTGCTGGTAGGCAATGAAGACGTCAGAGGCAAAAACCAATCTATTCAATCCCAACTTTCACCACCAAGATGGTGAGGCAACCATGAATACCTGGGAAGAGTATGGTCTGTGAAACTCCCTCAATTCAGTAACCAGCAACCATCACCAACGACACCATCGGCAACATTGACTTCAGTCCCATCACCGTTATCATCGAACTCCAACACACGATTGAGGCGAGTAAGAAGTGTTTGCAACTATGAACAATGTCAAATTCGGCTTCACCAGTGTGTGAAGGCTACCAGAATCCATGGGAAAACGAAATTCTAAGGGTCGGGAGGAAAGTGGTTCATGTTCCCAATACACTAGAAAAGCATTCGAAATGCAAGATCTTTGCACTTACAGCTATGACATCACATAAATCCTGGCGTGAAATGTAGCCGTCTCCGTCAAGGTCATACATATTGAATGCCCATCGCAATTTCTGATTCAAATCTCCTCGAGTAGTTACGCTGACAGTGGAGAGAAACTCACGAAAATCGATCACCCCGTCACGATTTCGATCAAATGTGCGAAAAACATATTCAGCAAAACGAGAAGCCTCTCCGTAAGGAAAGAACTTGATGTATATTTGTCTGAATTCATCAATCGTCAAGTGTCCTGTTGGACAGTCCTGTAGGGATAAAAATGATAGCCATTGAATCAATATGTCCTTAAGGACAGAAACTGCACAAAGCATTTTCAAGAAACGAATCATGACAATCGATTGCAGGGGAAAGACAAATATTCCCTTCAACAGCGCTGTAGAGTTTAACTATTATCATGAACATGGGACAACTAAGTTGGTTATCATTTGGCAAGTGCGTGGACTGAAAAAGAACACTAATGTCAGATGCCGTTACTGGACTAGCGAAAGTTAAATAGGGAAAAAGACTCACGTGATAAATTGAACAGTTATTGGTCGATAGTGTTGATACTGTCATTTGCGAATTGGGTTGGTGCTAACGGAAGACTAAACTGAATCCTAGTTGAACCCCTCATTTATGATGTTTTTCAAGATTTCGGCAACCTCATAGGTAGTGTTATGGTGCCACCGATCTGGACCTGTATGAAGAAGCTCAAACTGTACAGACAAATGCACTGAACACGAATCTAACGAAGTCCATTATTAGATAGTCCGGGGCTATTGTACTCGGTGAAACAGTTCAGGTAATTGCATCTCTCTGAAAATATTTTCCAGGCACGAATACTACATTGGTTCTGGCTTTCATTGGATCTACACATTATGATCCACTGGTGAGGGTAATCGACGGTTTTCCGTTCGAGCTGGAAAACTGAGAGTCAGCGCATCACAGCCTATTGTCCCTGTGGATAAACACAGGTTGTGCAGTAGACCATTCGCTAAAATCCTGTGATTTTATTTTACTGCTTCTGACCATGAAACCGGTCGGGTTCCGAAAAAGGCTTCGAAATGGTCTAGCCAGGTGATACTGTTATCATTTGATCTATTCTGAGCTAAACGAGCGAATATGGATGTATTAGTGTTTAGCCAGGTCAACCGTAAGCAATCACTTGGCGGCCAATGCTACAGCTCGTTCAGTTGTGGCATCCTTTAGGTGCCTAACTGCCATGCCACCCGGAGGTTGCACGAGGGCTGAGATATCCTCAGGTTGCCAAAGTCTAGACAGGGAAGCCGAGAGGCAGAGGTCGGATTCGAACTACGGACCTTCTGGTCAGTAACTTCGCGCTCTAACCACCTGGGCCATCTCACCCCAAGTTGCAGGATCGATGAAGGAAGGACATGACCCGGCATGACCTAGTGCTAGTAAGCGTCTCTTCTCACGTAAACTCAAGAAAAAATAACGGATTCATATCCGGTGATTGCGAAAGCCACTTTGGGGATCAATGAGGCCTATCCATCTGTGGGGGTAAAATTTCGTCTCGACACCCAGTTGTCTTCCGCGATGAACGTGTTAATACCTTGTCACCTGAAAGCATATAATTGCTAGTCTACTCAAATAAGAAACGAAGACATTTAGATAACATTCATTTGGCGTTCCTTAGATAAACAAGGGGCCAGTCATCCTATTTCCATGAACCACACACCGGACGCAGATCCTTCGATAAAACTGGCTGCGAACTGCGTATATTGGAGGCATGTTTCTGATAAAGAGGTAAAAGTCACTGTGATTCGTTTCTCACAGCAATCCTGACGTTGATACATATCATCAGATTTGAGAATTTCCATTACAGATGGTAAATACAAGCTATATATTTCTCTCTGTGCAGCAATCTCTCTGGTGGTTCTTCTCAGGTACTTCTCTCTGGTACAGCACATTCAGTTGCCTGAGAACAGCACAAACGAGAGATTCAGCTGGGTTCCAGGTGAGTCTCTCGAAAAACCAAATTAGTTTGCAGGTGAGTGTATATTCGCTAATTTCGTGCAATTTGGTTTCAAGTAGAACATAAGGTTGACGGACGGAAACCCGGGGACTGCGCCTACCTGATGAGCCCCAAAAGGGGCGAAACCGGTCAGTGGGCTGTCAACGGACTTTCGGCAACCTTGTGAGTAGTACATTACAAAGATATTTCTCTCTGCGTTCAACAGTGCTCAAATATTGCTGTTCGAGGCATTCAGCTTTCCAACGAGCAGTTGTATCGATTGTCGCCGGGGAATTTTAGGCACATGCATTGATTCTTGCCTTTCAACTGGTCGTACCTGTTCGTGGTTTCCTTACTGGCAGGTGATCGAGCAGTGATTCCGCCTTTCTGAGACTGGACTCGGTGTTTGTGCGATCTGGTGCAGTTTTACTCCCCCATGCCTAACCAGTAGTCCCAAAATTAGTGTGAGTGCACCAACCTGGAAGCGGAGTCTATAAGGTGTCGAGAATATGCGTTTGTAACACTTCAACCTGCCTGCGAAAACCGTAGAGCAACCAGATGCGATCACATCAACAAAGACGATGACGCAATGTTTAGCTGGTAAGCGGACGATCTTGGTCCCGTTTAGGCTTTATAATCCGAAGTGGAGGGTCAGCAACTTAGAGTGCATAGGACACACGACTCGTGTTGTCCCTAGAGTAGATAGATTATGTAAATAAGATCCGTTGTGAACAAAGGTAGATCCAGTAGACCGGAGAACCTATTGGTTTCGATATGATTCCAATGGTTATTCAGCCGACACATGCTTTTTTAGCACCATCGGCTGAGATGATTCTCTGAATGTTTCACACAGGCAATGTCTTTGAAAATTCCGAATAGGAAATTCAACTAATCCTGAGTAGAATAACGATCGGTTCGTTTACTCCCAACTGGAAGAAGAGACTGTGTGCCTCGGACGAAATAGGGAATCAAACATTAGGGCGAGGGACAGAAGAGCTCAGGATAACGCAGAGGAACTGAGAAACGAGGGCCACTTGCATTGGGTGCCTTGGACTTTGTAGCTGACACGACTATGAATAGCGGAGGAACTGGAAATGCAATAGCTTCGTAATTGGTTGATTGTTCCACTCCGCAGCAGTAGGTTTTTCATGAACGTCCTAATTAGAAGTGGCCATTTCTCGTTCTAGTCCGATAAACCTTATTAGAATTATTATCAAAGACGGCAAGAATAGGTTTAGTGATCAGCGAATGATCGCACAACATAAAATCTGGTAACCCATAAAAGCACGCGGCTAGATAGGCTGGAATGACTTTCAAGAAACCACTCAGTTTGTTGGACGGAATAGTCGCCATTATCAGGACCGATGAAGTGAAGTACATACATTAAAATTATTTATCTTCGGGGCCGACGTTTGAGACTATAAGAAATTGTCCTTCCTGAAAAAGAACGCCGGATCTTTTTCCCATAAAATGGTTTTTTTCAAAACCGAAATTTGTCTTCAATTTGAGAACCAGAACAGACGCTGCGAGCAGTCCTGTGCAAACCGTCAAAGTAATATACTTGAGAGAGCCAGACAGAAAAATGACAATTCTTTGAGAAGTTGCGATGAAAAAGTGCTCAGATGAACACAACCTTATAAAAGAACTGGGAATATATCAATGGGTAAGAAACAGTTCCATCACCCAACAAAACGAAAGCTTAATGGGTTAGTGACCTTGCTTCGGATCTCAGTCACTTTAACAAAAATCTTGACGAAACCCCTTTTACATCTGCCTCTTCACTGGTCCGAATTAACGTACTGACTACTCAGGAGTGTTTAGTTACTCAGTCGAGTCAGCAGCACACATAGATCGAAAAGGTAGCTACTACCATTAGGGAGAACACAGTCAACCACTTTTGTTTGCTTTTGTGGTCAGTAAATATTTGTAATGGTAAGCTTCAGAAACACTTGATAAACCTCATCACCAATTCTACAACTACTAGGACAACTTCCAGGCACAAAAATTCCAACCAGAAACAACCCAGAGTAATGCTGGAACAAATACTGGGTAACCCATGGAACCCAAAGAGCTCTAATAAGAGGGCCACATTGTTCGGTGATAAAACTAACCTTGAGGAATCCTTTGTACCAGTCTTGTATCTCTGTTTCTGTGAAAGCAGTCTGGTTGACGAGCTCATCCACGACATCTTGTCGAAGCTTCGCTTGCTTTTGACCCATTAGGTATATATTTCTATTGTGATAGTTTTCCCAATCATGATCTGTACGAAAGGAGGGTAAAGCGACAACTGTAGTAAATGTGGAGTGAGTAAACTCTTGGGGCGTAAGGCATTTGTGGTGGCTCCCACTTAATTTGGGACAGTTCTAACAATGTCTCGAATAGCGATGGCCTAAGCTTGCAAACTTAAACGAAGCTAGCGTAAATGTTGATCCACTCCCACTCGACTGACGTAAGCAGTGGACGCGGTGTTGATAGTCAGCTAGTCGCTGCGGCAGATAGTGAAACCGAATTACCCGAAATCCTCACCAGTGGGCCTAACGCACTCACGAAGAATGACAAGTCAGAGGTTGTTCCTGACATGATTGGACCTCAAAAGAAGGCATCTGTTAGAACAAGTGAAGAACTGGATTTCTTCGAGTTTCAAAATGTAATTATCCGATCGATCGTAGACTGTCCTATGCTATGTGAGCTTTCAAAATCAACGAAACGGATTACTCGACGAACGACAAAAACCTTTTGTACCCTAGACAATAAATTCCATATAAGACGTTTATTGGCTTTGACATATTCTCATGTACGTCCACCGTATGTACGTTTATCCACAAACCGCAACCTCAGTCTGAGCTAACTGCTCTGAAAAACTTGATTGTGAGCGTTCATACTAATAAATCTCCCAATGAATTAGTGTTGGGAATCAAAATATTTCTACAATATACGCCCACTTTTAATCAGATTCTGTATATGTAGACAAATGGAGTATCCACGAAACCCCGGTCGATTCCGTCCGATTCAGCAAGACTGTAGAAGTGCTCACACCTGAGAAATTATTCACTCCTTGCGGTAAGATACTCCTAGACCAGAGCTGCATCAAAAGTGGAGTGGCATGGTAGTACGAGCGGGGCAATTGCTTTTTGAAACACTGCAAGCAATTGGGAGAATGACGTAATTGGAATAGAAGTGGCAAAAGGCCTTATAGTGAGTAAGGCCCGCTTGATACTGGTAGCATCCCAGCCCTCCTGCTTCCTTCGGATGGCATCGTAGTAAGGCACCGAAAGGGTGCTACAGCTGGACGAGTTACTAGACTATCGCAAGACACTTTTAGCTATTGAACAGGCTACACACTGACCAGTGCATCATCATCATCATCATTGTCAGCTGTAGTAACTGCGTACTCGCCGTACAGTAACTGCCACAGTTTCGTTCACCGATGAGTTAGGGGGGTAGGTAGCTGCGCACTGCAGGCGGGAGGTGATAAATTGGTGCATAAGTCCAGCACTGTCAGTGGGCTGTCAAGTGGGGGGGGATCGGGGAGGGAGCTATGCATTAAAGGCAATAGCTTGGATGCACGAGCGACATTGAGGGCACACTGACCAGCGCACTGACCAGTGCACGTTCTCCAGTATAGTGAAACGGGGAAGAGCTTAAAAGACGGACGACAAACTGATCGAAATACCCAATCAAACAGATCGCCAGCGTAGATTTAACCAAAGCGAAATAGCGTATTGGTCAAGGCACAAGCCTACTAACCGGAAGGTCGTGGTCAGAATCCAAACCCAGAATCTCGACTGCTTCTGTATGGGCAACCTAGCACTATTTAAGCCCACATGCTTCCTCCGGGTGGTCTGGCAGCTAGGCATCGAAAGGGTGTTACAGCCGAAAAATTCTTCAGTCTTAGACGGGGAGACCGGAAGTTGTCAGAAGCGTCAGCTCGACATCGATTGAACGAAAAAACGCGCCTGTGTATTTCCGAAGCCGCCAAAGATCCCAGTTCACTGTCAAGGGCTCCGTCGGGAATCCAACAGAAAATTGACACGTGGCCAGCATAATTGTTGCTGGAGGTTCAGCTCAACGACTCAGATGCTCTTTTTTAAGATGAACCAGCGACTTTTTTCATTAAATGTCACACAATTTCGACCTGTAACAGTCATCAAGTGAAGTAATATTCTCCTGACTTTAGCTTTCGTGGATAAACATGTTCCTTAATCAGCACACGGGACTTGAGACACAGGAATTGCTAGTTCTATAACTTACTGGCCCATCGGTGTGGATAGACCTCAAGGCCATTTCGACGGTTAAGTCGAAGAGAGCATTTAGTGTACAGGATGGTGTTACTGTAGGGAGCATCAAAACTACCTCTATGGGGGGAGCGAAATCGGATAGCGTGTGGTTAGATGAACATTCGAGTAAACTGATGGGTCTTTTATCCTTGACACAATTGACCCAATTGTGAACGTGATAAGTTCTACGTCATCTTAGAGTTCTGAAAACTTCCGTACAAAATGTGGTGTCCCACAATGATAGACACCCCCACCCCTCATTTCTATTCAGATGTGTGGTAGACGAGATGAGACGGGCTCTGGAAGGTCTGCCAAACCCTGGTATTCGAAAGGCTGCTGACAGAAGCTTTGTAGAGCTGGAAAAATAAATGTATGCCGGCTAATCGATGTCGGTGGATTTCCTAACCAGCGTATTTGAAGGAGTGTCTGGAGGAGTAGGCAGCTCTGTGATTGTGACAAGCCAGCACATCCTTATCCAGTTATTCCTTTTTTACAATAAGGCTTTCAAATAAATTACGGTTGTACGGCAGCGAAGCGTCAGTGTTTACTACTGATGTTATGTTGTAGACGAGCGTTACTGACTGCATGACTGAGTCAGTGTCATCAGCCATTGGTGAGTCTTATCCAAGAAAGCGGCATACGTCAACTCAACTGTGTTTACCAGCTGGCGTCCTCATAGTTCGTCGCCAGGCCATATACTATTCACCCCACGGCTACTCACACTCAGCACAGGACTGGGTAAAGAAATTTGCGAGACAGATGACGTGCGAATAATATGTCCTAACCAGCGTACCGACAAATAATGGATGCTCCAACCATCGCTGGAAAGCTCCTTTTTCCTAAAACAATCCGGCTTACATCAGCAGTGCTGATCCAACTTTCCCACCAGATAACAATGTCACAACCACCAATGCTTCGGAGACATCAATGGTAAGAGACTGAAAGCTTTCACACATCCTTTGTACGTAGAAGCCATGTTTCTGACCCATAAAGTAATGTGGATCGCAATGTCACAGCCCATAGTGTGCCCTTGACATAAACTTACGTCACACTGGTTTTATAGGTGTCGGAGGTGTCGGAAGTTCGTTAAGGCTTACCTGACCTCGAATCGAGAGATGTCACCTCCCACCAGTTCATCAAAACTTATACATCTGTTTAGCTAAATGAATATACCTACCACTTCGATTAGCCGATCTGCAAACAGACAGAATCAGGCCACTTGGTCCACTTGGTCTTGTAACTGTACTTCACACAACAACTCAACAACAACAACTCAACTGAAACAGGTTGTCTGCAATATAGCCGACCTTCATCCGGTGTCCTTTGTCTTCTTCCTTGAGGTTTTCCCACTCAAGTAACTAGAGTATCAATGTGACAGAATAAGTTGCACCAAGCTCCAAAATCACTCAGCCATCACAACACAACATGGGCCTCCGCAATCCATTAGCGTCCCCATTCGTCCTCTAGGCTGTGCATCATTTGGGGGTTGGAGGATCTGCGTGCACCGTCGTTGTCGCCAGCTGCTGGTATGGGAGTAACAATATCAGCTGACTTCAAGATATCCAGCGCTCATTCAATAAAGTCGGGCAGCATGTATAGACGGTTCTGAAAACTGTGAACACAGTTTTCTTCATCGTAACCCTATAAGTACGGTGGCAACGATTTCACTCTGTCTAGATCACAAGTTTTCTCAAGTTACCGTGGCCTCCGATGCACTTTGATGAGAAGAACAGCATGCCAAGGACCGAGATAGGTGTTGCAGCACCGTTCACAAGAAAATAGAAAGCGACCGTCCGAAGCTATCACGTAAATTTTGGCTGAATTTCAAGCAAGTTTACAACAGCAGTTACAAGAAGCTCAAGTAAGACTTACTGAACCCCTGATGCGCATCATGTTGGTTAACACGAGAAAAAATAGTTTCGCCTTTGTCTTCTTCCACAGATGCTGCTGTCACTTCGATCGGAGAGTTCAGTTTTTATGCTTAATCTGGATTAACTTCCCTAAGTTGGTTCAGGAAATATGAGGAAACGTTTCGAGTCGACTCTGACATGTTTAGATAATGATAATAATAACAATAGACGATCGTTCACCTGTAACACTACCATGCCACCAGGTGGCCCAAGCCTAGGCAGGGCAAGACGAGAGACTGAGGTCATGTTCAAACCATGGACCTTCCGGTGAGTAAATTCGCGCTCTAACCACTGAGCCATCTCGCCAGTTTGATGTCACACGAAAAGTCCGAGGGCTGCTGCAAAACTGGGGACCGCTGGACATGAACGGTTCACAAATTTCATGCTCCTTACTTCTTTCGTAGTCTTTGCTTTGCAGATACCACCAGGAACCTGGCCCATATATTCGGTGAATAGAGTTTCTCAATATTCGCCGCCGGCGTCTCAAGGGAGATTCTAAAGAATTTATGATGTATGTATTTGTGACCAGCAGAGAATGCGAATGATCCAAGCTCAGCTTTGTCACCAAGGATGAATGCAGCGTAACTTTGCGGCTAATCTTTGCTAGCCATACGATGAAGATATGCGGAACAGGTTAATGTCTAATTCCAATTGAACAGGAACCGGAATCGACATTTCAGAAACTACTGAGTGCTGAAAACTTCTAGGTCAACTCCGAAGGTAATACTACAGTGGTTAAGAATTCCTAGCCATTCTAGTTTGAAGTGATACCAAAAAGACTCCCAAAAGGTAATCAAAGTCCAAACAGACCCAAAAACCGCCAACATCCCGTGGCTCATGTGACGAATACAACTTTTAATGCCCGTGCCCAACGGAACCACATATGCAGCACGTGCAATCAAAGAAGCCACAAAGAACAACGTTTGTGGGACGGATTCATGTCACACACAACCATTAGCTTGAAAAAACGCAATCGGGGGCTGTGACCGCTACATCAGGGATGAAGTCACCCGTCCGACGAAAAGTCACCACAGTGTACCAATATTAAGCTGGTTGCCCTCCAACTTACTGAAGATTCCGACCTCATTCTTATTTAAAAACGAACGTGGCAATTGGTTGTACTGGTACCAGTTGGCTTAGCTGTTGGTGCGCGAATTTACTGACCGGAAGGTCCGTGGTGCGAAACCGACTACTGCATCTCGACTTCCCCTGTCTACATTTGGACAGACTGACAGTATCCCACCCCCGGGTTTCCTTCGGGTGGCATGGCAGCTGGGTACCGAAAAGGCGTTACAGGTGAATCGAGGATACGGTGAAGGCTGTTCACGGAAAACACCGGACAAAATACTACGCAAGGCACAGTGTGCAAGCGGCCACGTCGAACGAATCAACTGCAGGCAACAGAGTGTGCCCCCCAAAATGGGAATACGCCCCATAGACCACGGGACAATCTCAACACAGGTCGGAGGTCACAGAAAGTGTCATCGATGGGTCAGACATGCACCAGATGTCATACCAGTATGGTTGATGCCCCTGGTAAAGAACAGAAAGCTACAGTAGCTCCCCGAGCTGCCAAAAGACGAATTAAAGGACGGTCAGTGTCCCCGATGGTGTCCAGACATAACGTGATATATATCAAACTAACTGATGTCACACCGACTGGGAGAATGCGTCGTGAGCCGGCTACGGACCGAATGTATTGTTGTGCTGGTTGATTTCAGTGAGAACCAATCAGGATCGAGTAATGTAGCCCGGCGTTTCTAGCCTGATCACGAAGACAAACTCGATCGTGCGAAAAAGCCTGTGACGCCCCTAGGAATGTGGTTGTAGCCTTTTTCGTTGACCCCTAATATGAGCCGCATCAGACCACCTTATTTTCTGGCATACGGCAGTAGAAGAAGCAAAAGGCAAGGACTGATAAACGGCCCACTGATGGATACACAGGATCGTGGCTTTCGCCCAAGCATCCTGGGCCGGGTGTTTCCATGTGGTTCAGCGCACTCTGTTCGCCTGAAAGGCACAAGCGGAGAAGGAGTATAGAAATATTCTTTAAATTATCAGTCCGGGGCAGTAATCTTGCCAACCCGAGGACTCAATTAAAAAGATATCTAAAAAGGTTTGAACTGGGGACTAGATGCAGCGTGACCAGCAGTCGGAGGAAGCTTGTTCCACGCAGAAACTACACGGAATTGGAAAAACTGTTGTCTAATAAACTTGTACGTTCTGAACTTGAAAACCTTTTTACCATGCCCCGCCGTGTCAATTGGGTCAACGGTGGAAAGACTGTTGGTCAAACCTCGTTAAACAAGAGCATAAGTAGGCATTGAGTCTCCTTGGAGTGACGATGCTGTAGCGGTAAAAGGTCTAGCACAACAAGATGCGTTTAAGACCGGCAATCATCACCGTTGGACACGCCTAGTTAGGGTTACGTCAACTTGGTTGGTTCAAGAAGCGATCTGACGTAGTCCCCATAGGGTACCAGTAAATGCATGCGAGTAATAGGGGAGAAGGTTCGTCGTATCAACCGTAATGACAAATGTCATTTGGGTCGATTTCCGTGGTGCACTGAGAATGACGTGTTTGAAGATAGCCGGATACCTAAAACCACTTTGGCATCTATTCTTGTATTGTCTTCCAGCCCATTCTCATTATGCACACTGAGTCCCCTCCTAATGACTTAATTATGCACTTTTCGTTATTCAGGGGGAAGTGCCAGTCCAACGACCACTGCTATGTAGCCTCTACCTCTATTTTAAGGGCAATGTTCTTGTGTACCGTTTCCACCGAAGCTCGTCCCAGTTTAAGTTGCTTAAGGAAGCTACTCACTTCTGGGAAGTCTGAACGCTAGATGGGTGTTTTTACTGCGTAAAAACAGTGTAACTTACAAATTGCCTTAATTTGTGTTGGTAGAACCGAAGTCCCGCTGTGGAGTAGGCTGGCATTGCCGGACTGTGACATCCGGTCAGGGGGAAGTTGAATCTTTTGGGAATCTATCATTCATTGTAGTTCTCCTCTTAAGTATGTAAGGATTGAGGGAGGAATTGCGCGCCGGATCGTCTTTTAAGTGAGAATGATTGATGATGGTGTGAGGAGTTATCATCAGTCAATCAGGAATGCTGTAAAGATGTCTATTTTGGAGGCCAAATACCAACTGCGATTATCATCATAATAAAAGAGGAAAGCGTACAAAGCTGATGGAAACATGAAAGAAGTCAGAGAGAATGAAGTGGAAATAGTGATGAGCAACGGCTCGAACCTACGTCCACGTAAGTGGTAGCGTCATCCTACTGGACTAACAGGACACGGACAGCGGTCGTGCTTAAGTCTATCAAAGGAGTTTTGAAGTACTTGTGGCCGCTTGATGCAGATTGGTTGTTCTTGTCAAGTGATAATATTTGAACCGGTCATATAATTTGGTTCGGCTTTTTGATGCGTCGCCAGTTATGTTTTGCACCGCTTTCAGGAAGCGAGGTGATATTAATTAAGCCCAAAATCATTAGGCTTCAAAGTTGACATTTTTACGGTGCGTTAATCTCGCCCTGATACAGGTTTCGATGAAATGTTTGTCATAGCCTTTTTAGGAATGAGCGAACTTTCAAGGTCACCGGCCACCGGTGATTCGCACGTGATCAGCAGTTCGGGAAACAAAGCGACAGAATAAAGTTTGAGCTCAATTTTAGCCTACTTTAACGATTTTCTGT